TAATTTGAAAATATTTTCAATACATACCTTCTTGAATACAAATAGGAGTTAGGCATAAATTTTGTTGATTATTGTAGCTAGCATGATTTACTTTGACACTACTGTTAGTATCTAATAAATTACTATTAACTTGAATAACACTAAACACGTGAATAATATAGTAAAGTAAATACACTTCAACGCAATTATAAATAATCATATTTGTGAACATAAATAAAAATTATATAATTTGAACTTAAAATTTTCAATTTACTGTGTTTAGAAATTAAAATTTATGAGGGGACAATTTGTGAGTTAATTATGAGTTTACTATATTTATCAAGTTTTTGCGGTTAAAAATATTTACTAATTGTTTTTAAGTCAAGATTTTTGATGGCAATGAACTTCAGAGAAATAAAAAGTTGTCAAAAAACTCTCATTTCCTAAATATACACTAAAAAGTAAACTTGTTTTTTGTTTTAAGTGAAAACGATAAGAAAGTTTTTTTTGAGTCATTTTACTGATTATTTTATCATTTGGTGACAGGTACTATATCAATCAAAACATGTTTTATGTGTTAAATTAAATGCAATCGGAATACCTATCTAAACAACACTGGGAATGGAGGGGTCAGAGGGTTTGGGACCAGTTTTCACTATACATTAATTCAGATAAAATTTTTTATATTTATATTTTAAATACTTTCGCATTTTAAAAATATTTTTAAAACACAAACATTAAATTTAATTCAAATAAACCTTTTGATGTATAAATTAATTTTATTGTATAATTCATTACATTTAATTAAATCATATATGATCACATGGACATCAATTTAATTAAACAAAATGCACTACTATTTATAGTTTAAAATAAATTATAATACTTCAATTCAATACATATAAATAAATATTAGCGTATTCATATAGGCACCGGACTCTACGCAAAGTTAGAGTACCTGGCTATATATATACTGTATGTCTACCAAATGACACACTTGTCCACCGGATTCATAGGCGCACCCAATGGGCAGTTGAATAATCGGGAGAAGTCCTCGGAATTAGATACCACTCCATTCACTCTGTAATGACACAAAAAAATAAATTATTATATTTATATCACCTTGGTAATACAAATTTATGAGTAAACTCTCATAATTACAATAATGCTTGAAAACTACCGACTATTTTAAAATGCAAAACAAAATCAAAACTATTACTAAGCTAATTATATTACGTTATCATAATGTATACTAGGTAAGTTATCAATACAAACCTCTGCCTACTGGGGCTGTGGCTATCGGTCATCACCTGTAGCGCCAGATACTGGTCGGTGGCTTTGGAACAGTACTGTACGGCAGAGCTCACCCAAAACAGTTGGTCGGGGCTCAGGTTGAGCGCCGGTAGCGGTAACTCCACACCATTTTTGCGCACATAATTTTGATACGCCCTTGGTTAACAACAAATAAAATTATCAAAAATGTTACGTATATTAACCATCACCTACTCCTCCCCCCAGACAGCACCTACCTATACGACTGGATGACCCCTCCATTATCGGCGATGTTCTCCCCCTGAGTGTTGATGCCATTCAAGTGTTGGCCCACTTCCTTGACCGTGAAGTTGGCGTATTGGTTGATAAAGCAGTCGGCCTTTTGCTTGTATAGGGTGTCGGTGCTCGCGTCCCACCAGTTCCTCAGGTTTCCCTTCTGGTCGTACTGTCGGCCCCCGTCGTCGAAGCCGTGTATGATCTCATGGCCCGACACGTAGGCTATGGACCCGTAGTTTAGGTAACTTTTGAGGGGTAATTGAAGGGTATAATTAGGGTTGGGTCTGATATTAAGGTGTAGTTCCCATACTTGGGTCGATCCTTATGGAAAAAGACTCCCTGAAGTATACCGGCCGGCATGACCACCAGGTTCTTGAGCTGATGGTAATAGGCGTTCACCACTGCCACGCCGCTCAGGTCTCGCCAACTGGTCCACAAATTATTGATAAATAGTAGTTAGTGTATCAGGGTAACGTGAAAATACTAAATACTAATAATAGGTTTACTCGTAATGATCCACCGGTTGCCGCAACTTTCCAAACCCTAAATCCAGATACCATTTGCTTAGTCGCGCGTTATTACCGAAATAGTCGCTCGCATTGGTCCACAACTATAGCCAAAATGTATGGGTTTTTAATACTGACTGACTATAAGTTTGTATGGAAATGGTTATCAATATA